AAAGTACAAAAGCCAAAATAAAAGAAAAAAATTTAATTAAATAAAATTAAAAAATTTAATTAAATAAAATAAAAATAAAAAAAACACTTCAAATTAGTTTATTTAAATATAAAAAAAAATAGTATTTTTCATTTTTATTTATTTTATTTTTTTTTAAATATTTAATTTAAATTGTATTTAAATGGAAAAAATATGTTAGGAAAAATATGTTAACAACTGCATCAAAACTATTTAAAAGCGTCCCAGGATGCACTGAGGTTGAGTAATAGTCTAGAATAATCAGACCTAGAATCTAAACAAAGATGAAGCTAAACAAAAATAAGAGTTTTAAATTGTTTAACATTTGTTGGTTGTTTCCATACTTTCATATGCATTATTTTAAAGAACCGATGACTTTTCTCTTATTCTAAAATAAGGAAAATGTCCCAAACATGTGACTTTTAGTGAAGGTCTCAGAAAATAAAAGTGAAAATGCACTGCATTAAAGGAAAAACGAAAGCATTGTATCTACAAAAATTACCTTATGACTCTGAGTTCTGTTGATATAAAATGTGCAATAACACAAGCTCCCAATCAGCCACTGGTGCTCAGAAATTAGCAGTAATGAGACGGAGAAGAGCAGGTTCTGCCTGACTACATCCAGTTAAAATCCAATCTGAGGGACTGGAGGCAAAGAGGGCAGAAACAACTTACCTTAATTAATACGCTACAATAAAAGAAATAAAGCAACATTTAAAACCACAGTCTTTCTCTCCTCCTCGCTCTTGCGATCTTTCATTCATGTTTCTATTCACACCGCATTCACACTCAGACACACTACCATTTCAAAGGTTAAGGGTTGGTAAGATTTTTTTTAAATGTTTTTAAAGTCTTGTATCCTCACCGAGGCTTCATTTATTTGATTAAAAATACAGCAAAAACAGTAATATTGTGAAATATTTTTTATAACTTAAAATAACTGTTTTCTATTTTAATATATGTTTAAATGTAATTTATTCATGTGATGCAAAGCTGAATTTTCAACATCATTACTCCAGTCTTCAGTGTCACATGATCCTTCAGAAATCATTTTGATATGCTAACTTTTATGCTCAAGAAACATTTCTTCTTATCAACGCTGAAAACAGCAATCTTTTCATAAATAAAAACATCTTTAATGTCACTTTTGATCAATTGAATGCATTCAGTATTAATTTCTGGAACTTGACTGCATCCATCAGGAATAAAGCATTTTTTTCCTTTTGAATAATATGTACTGATAAATCATGCACAATAAGACCAATAACATTTACTGAAACACTAACTAGGGTCAATTTTGGTCTTTAATTTGAGATCTGTTCCAGGAACCTGAAAAGCCCCAAAAAATCTAAGCAAATTAGCACAGAAAGCGAGAATGAAGAAGAGGAAAACAAATTATGCATCCCATCTAATGGAGGCTGATGCTTCTAGTCCAAACGCCCTCTGGGTCAGACGCCTGCTCCAGTACCACATCTGGACCTGCCAGTGTGACCCGATTGCTATTCTGTCAGAGCACACAGCCACGCAACCACAAATCCATCACATCAGAGCAAAGCCGCGAGGGGTTTAAGTCAAGGTGTGTGTGCGTGTGCTGCTTTACAAACTCCAATGGGCGACAATCTTGAATCCAACACATGTGCGCTAGTACACTAAACAGGTCTGGGCCTATAGAGATGCTAGCTGGTGTCTAAGAATTAACGGGCAGCTGGGAGGAACCAGACCTGCCTGTGCCATCTGTAAATGTCAGCGGCAGCGTTTGCTCATTTTACACATCATTAAAGGCAATATTCCTAACCTGTATTAGAGCAATCAGCACGCGCCCATTACTGACACGGGCCTGGGGGGATACGGGCCAAACACTGAGGAGGCGAGAACGCACTCACCGTCTCTATCAGACGCACACACACAGTGTAAACAGTAACACCCCTTATACACACACACACGGCACTTCAGACAATGAACTGAAGGTAAATGCAGACATAAACAGACCCCAACAATGATCTGATGCATGTGAATATACAAATATATACAGTACATGCAGTCGCATTTATCTTCTTTACAAGGTCTAACAGAGGCACAGGGCTTCAAGGAACCAACACATTTGGTCCAAAAACACATGAAGCTTCATTTGCTGCCGGCTGTCTGGAAGCTGGGCAAGTGTATTTATCAGCCTGGAGGATCAAAACAAGTAATGCCACCTGGACATCATTATATCAGTATAAAAACTATTTAAAAGTAAAAAAAAAAAGAAAAAAAAAAAGGATAGGACTAAATACTTTGTATTTAGAGCAAAAGTGAATCAGGAACCTGATTAAATGATTGGAAGATCATATTGCTTATTTTATATACTGATTATTTATATGTTCAAATGTCTGATTATCGATATGCAGAACCAATATTAAATTGTTTTATAAATAATAAAAACATAATAAAATTTTTTTTTATGTTTTTCTAAAAACATAATAAAATAGCAGATTAAATATTTCATATTTAAATACATTAAATACATACAAAATGTAATAATTTTAAATATATATATAAAACAAATAATAATAATAATATAATGATAAATTTGATTTTATAATTCATATTTTAAAAAGTATTTAAAATTGTGTGTTTAAATATGTAATTACCAAAAATAACAATAATAATGATTAGATTAGATGAAATATGAAAAAAACATAAAATGTAATAATAATTTTAAATATATATAAAAACAAATAAAATAATAATAATAATTGTTACTATTAATAATAAGAATAATAATAATGAGAAAATAATTTGTTTTGAAATATTAGCTTTAAATATTTAAACATTAATAATTTAATAATTTAATTCAAATGTAATAGTGGTAATAGCTGGTACTACTACTGCAGTAGTAGTTATACATTTAAAAATGTAATAATCATCACAACTCCTACTAGTGATAATACCTATTATTTTTATATTTAAATTTAATTATTTTATTATTACATTTTAATGTTTAAATACGTTAAAAACTTCACAAATTATCCAAAAAGTACATAATTTGTTATTCAAATTTTAAAAACTATACATTTAGTTCAGTCTAATTTAATGTTATATTTTATTTTCTTTGCTATAAAAGAAGAATTGCAAGTGTGCAATGAGAATGCAGCCTTATTTGTTAACTACATATAAAAAATAAGTAGATTTGTAGAAACTGCATGTTTCCTATAGAAGACTACAGAAAGCCCAGATTAATCAAGCTCCAGAATGGCAGAGCAGATCGCTTTCCTTTACAGCAGCGAAGATAAAGGTATGGTCACAAAGGCATTAAAGCTCCTGTCAGTCAGTCCTGGATCATCTTTTAAACACCTGAGATGTTCATTATACCGCCGTACATCCAGCGGGAATGGAGATGCTCCACTGAAGCTGTTCAAATGGAGACACTCTGCATGTAGAGGAATTAAAGGCCTGTTTGCTGTTGGATTCAACTTAAACTCAGGGTCGAGACAGTTCAAATGGTCAAGGCCTGCTTGAATCAAAAGAATCAGCACTGAAATGAACTGATTCACTAAAATGAATCAGACTTCATTTAGTAGTCTAAGCATGTCTTAATTGTGGACGTTCACGTAAAACCATCAGCTGCCCGAGGCTATTTGTGAATCAGCGCTGTAAAAATCTCCCGGACACTTCCCAGAGACGTTCGCTCATAATGCAAAGCACGAAAAAGTTGCCTAACCTTCTTCGAAAGCGACAGCACATTTGATTTATGATGCTTCACAACAGCTAAAATTCGATTTCTGCCAGCATTCGCCGCTTTTGATTGCCCCGTAAATGAGATAAACTGATAGCAATTTATTCAAGGATCCAAGCGCCCCCTCCACCCCTCCCATCTCTCCCACTCCTCTGCCTTCAGCAGATACAACTTGCTCCATGTGAGTGATTCTCATACTTAAGCAATATGTCTGTATTCTGCATGCACTCACCAGATCAGACAAGCGCGCACTAATAGAACCTTTCAGGCTGTACAGGGGCAAAAACGACGACGTTCATGATGGAAATTGCGTCCGCACACACATTCAGCTGCTGTTATTCTGCCAGATGACCAAGCCAAGCTTAAGAAAATCAGAGGTTAGACCTCGTACTCTTGAGGAACTGTCTGCGTAATGAGACAGAACGAGCGCTAAGAACGTCTTTAACTCCTGCTGCAATGGGAAATGACCACGTTTGCGATCCCTTGAGCTTGTAATGTCATCCATACACATTTAAAACGAATAAAACAGCCACAACAGTGGCGCTGGATCATTTGATGCAATTTTAGCTCATGTAAAAACACAATTAAACTTGATCCTGGTCGCATTTAAATAGCTGAAACGGATGAAAATTAAACAAAAATCCTTCTTCAAACCCTGAATGTCTTTATACCACCTACAGATATTTATTCATCATTTAAGTGCTTGATTGTGGTCTTTTTGTGTGACTTCAAAGATGCACATAGGCTAAATGTAGATTTATTGAACAGTTTTCCAAAAAAAAACAAAACAATTTTATTAGGAAGCGTCTGTGTCTTCATCATTGATGGACGGTGTCCATCTAGTTGATGGATTTTGCCTATTGGCAACAAAACAGCCTGAGGGAAGTGCTTTTGTTTCCTCAATAACAACCAATTAGGAGACTGTATTTGTCATTGGGACGGGCAATAAAACCCAAGTGGCACCGTCTTCATGACACATCATCTCTGTTGTACATGGCACAAAACAATGGATCAACAATGAATTTTTTCTAATTCAGAAAAAGATTGAATTATTTTATTAGCCACAGGCCAACTGGACTTTTTTATATGAGAGCATTTTGTACCTAAAACAAGCCTACAAATGCTAAAACGGTTACTGATATCCAATAAACTACTGGTGTTTGTGTTATTTTGTTACCAATGGGACAGTGAGATATAGATGAATCAGTAAATGGTAATTTTTTGTACAAATAACACAAACTTGTACAGTTTTGCATCCCTTTACCTTCATTCCCTGCAGAAAGGCCGTCCGGTTTGGTGATGCCTGTGCTTTTTTTCCGTCTGTGTTTCTTGCGGTTGGCATGAGGTGATGGTGGAGGCTCAAGTTTGGGACTGGTGGCGATGTTCATGCCAGGGGCGGAGCTGAGAGGATCTGACATCCCATTGGCTGGAGGAAAGAAAACAGACATGAAGTTCAACCAAAGGTGACAAAACCTGAAACCCTTACAGTCAAACTCCACAAACATTTTTGCTACTTTTTTTTTTCTTACTGGCCAAATTGTATTAACTTTATATAAACTATGTATTATATTTCATTCATATATATATATATGTATATATATATTAGTGCTGTCAAACGATTAATCGCATCCAAAATAAAAGTTTTTGTTTACTAGGTGTGTGTACTGTGTATATTTATTATTTATATATAAAGATACACACATACAGCATACATTTTGAAAATATTTACATGTATTTACGTGTATATGTATATTATATATAAAATTTATAAACGTAACATATCTTTCTTAAATATATACATGCATGTGTGTGTATTTATATATACATAATATATCGCGATTTATCTTTTGACAAAACAAATATATATATATA